GAAGTTTTGCGTATGATTCGTCTTTTCTGTTACGTTATTACCCTGTTATTACTTTCGGTGCATTTGAACAGAAGGAATTCGACTTCTTACTCGGATCGACTGTTGATGTCGAAGATCGTTCTTTCTCTCGGTTTTCGTAATTTCGTTTGTTTTTCGACGCGGACACCTGCCGCACAGGTATGCCGCTTGGACGCAGGTAAGCGACCGCGCGAAATGCACTTGCGCCAAGATTGCGACATGTTCAGTTACCCAAATTAATAAAATTACTCGGATTGTTCTAACAGTAATCTTGATTTTACCAGTGGAAGTCAATAAGGATTTTCATCTTATCCGTTCTGGTGTCAAACAGCACTTTTAACCATTTGTACAGTACAAAATACAATTATATTCGTCTATTTGTGACTATATGAAATATGTTGTCATGAATAATTGTCACTAGCTAACAAAATGAATGGTGAATTCTCAATTGATTGATTGATTATATTAGATTAATACATTATCACGAGGTTATGCGGGACAAGTAGCAATAAATAAATTTCAATACAATGATATAGGTCAAAGTGTAGTAGAACTGAACTTACTAAAAGTAGATTTGAATCACACTTGCATTATCATAATACAGTATTGAAGCCCACGATTTTGATTAAGAGAGTGTTAGAGTTCCATACATTACAACCCATATTTTAATTTTATATAGATTTAAGTACGGGTAATTTAGGACATGAGATCAATTGAATTAATTTCAATCGTTTTACAAGTTATTATGTCTTATATATAATAATATTATTTCTTTCAGATGCCGTATCTTAATCCAGCTCGTTCTCTCGGTCCGTCCTTCGTGCTAAATCATTGGGACAACCATTGGGTATACTGGTTCGGTCCAGTCGCTGGCGGAATCGCATCAGGTCTGATCTACACGTTTGCTTTTGATCCCAAACGCAATAGATCTAACAGATCCACATCTTGGATGGAGGAGATTCAAGAAGTGTCGATTCTGACGAAGATACATATGATATTTAGATGGAAACAAGGGAAATGGTGCTCAGCAACAACAGAAATTTCACAGTGGATCGGCTTATAATACTTACAGACCAGCTGTAGGGGCACCACCACATGGTAAATTGATTTACTTATTTAATATTCGTTAATAGAAAGATTATTAATAATACATAAAAATAACACAATAACAGAAGTTTGCCATGTATATAATATAATTTTTATTTGTATTTTTTCAGGAGGCAACACATACTGTTCAAGTTTGGCAACGGCTAGTTTGTATTCGCCACCTAACAAATTAGATCGTGTGGAATCTATATATGGTGGTACCAAATCCTTATACTGTAAATCACCGCCACTGACTCGTGCCAATCTCAATCGCTCTCAATCCGTTTACACAAAATCCAACTCCGCATTAAACCGAGAACTGTTGCCTCGTCCCGGACCTCTCGTGCCCGCACAATCTTTGTACCCGATGAGATTGAATCAGCAACAACAGCAAGTGAGTCAACAAACGTTGCACAGAATCAGAAACTCAAAACACTTTGTATGGCCAGCGTAGGCCTGAGTTCAAGGAGGCTACAGTAATGGAGTGTATGGAACTAGAACAAACCCAACAGGAGATGTGCAAACCCAAAAATTTGATGAGGGTGGCAAATTCAAACCGAGGTACAAACCTGATAACGGTTTATGGCACAAACTGGGCCTAGACGAGGACAGTCCACACAGTCTGATGATTCTTCATATGGTTCATACCAAGGATCAACAGCACAGAATGCAAATGCATATTCTGGGGGCAACCTACATGTTAAAAGTGCTGTAACGCAGAGGCCAAATCAAGAGGGCCAAGTGAGGCCGCCACCACAACAATAGCACCTCCTACACACCATGCTATAAGGCAACCACAGCAGTCACCAAATCCTCAATACTGATTTTAGTATTATAAGTGTGAATGATATTTGTGTGAATGTGGAATGATATGTTTTGAATAATTGAAAATTATAAAGTTTGTTTTTGAATATAGTATGCATTTCTGTATGATTTGTTTGGTGTGAGCAAACTTAATATTGTAACGTTTAATATTATAGTATGAATGATTTATTATAGATCAAGATAATTGACGACCAGAGTTTCTGTGTGATGTTTATATATTACTAATAATAATTGTATATAGTTATATGTTTGATGATAGACAAAACTGTATTTAAAAGGAATGTGTACTGTCCATCAAATAGAATGAATTACCATAGGAATATATAAAATTTTAAATAGTTTGTTAATGTACTTAAGTATGAAACTTTTTTGAATATGTCACAGTTTTATTTATTTTTTAAATCAATTGTCAATGTACTCATAATTGAAATTGTCTTATGTGATAAGTTTCATTCACCATTTGTTTAAATTTAACATATAATAAAAATGTTTGTTCAAAAGGAAGGAAGAAAGTAATAACTACTGTATGTTTTACTTTCTTAATAAAATTGTAGTGTACACAAACCTATAATAACAGTGCCACAAATCCTATAATATGTTAAAAATATATATAGAATAGTCTATTATGCGAAGTGTATATATTATGTAATGGTCAATGTAATTTATATAAAAATTCAATAAAAATAAATACATATTTCATTTTTTTTTTCAATGTTTGTGGAAATTCATAAGCATAACGGAACAATAATTTTATTTATTTTGAATTGTAAGTGTTCAATTGCAGTTAATATATATATGACTATAAAAGATAAATATGAAGGCATTGATTTCAATTATATTGCCCATGCATATTATATGTGTCGAAGGATTCAATTGCAGAGAGCAAGATGGAAAGCGTATTATAGTGTCGAAGGATTAGTGCAGGCAGGACTGGGCAATATATATTTATGACAAAAATACAAAAACTAGAGACGAACTTAAATATATATTTTCGAGACGATATAAATAATAATTTCGTTTGAATATTTCGGTTGCCTAACGCGAGAATATTTGTGTGCGCCAATGATTGATAAGAATCTCAACTATTGAATTTGTATTTGATTTTTATCGTAAGATGTAACTATAATATTGAATAACCTTTTAGTAGACGGTTCGTTTCATTCAATCGTTAGTCGCAGACCATTTGTGTAAAAGTTTTATTTTGTTAAATTGTTTTATAATTTATTATGACAACAGTTTTTATTTGGTAGGCCCCATGTGAAATTTTCGAATCTGACGTCTACTCGTTGAACTGTCAATGGAAGAACTAAACAGAAATCTGACAGCTGTAAAGAAAATTGTGTGCATATAATATTTCATGTAAGGGAATTGGCATTTATAGGTAAATAATTGTATATAAGTAGCATCTATATATATACAGTAGAGCCTCGATTAACCGGACTAATTGCTGTCGATGGGCATTCGGATTCGGATAATCGAATGTATAAAGAATAAGTGTGTGTACTTATTAAAAATAACAATGACATACATATATCAACGAAAATCAATGTTTATTGAGAAATTAACACTTCTTCATGTATGTACATATATATTTTCTTAGATTACATTAATATATAATACTCTGCACCATAAAATTCATCGTGCAAAATTCGAATTGTATAGGTTTGTTTATACTTACATGCAATATAAAGACATACGTGTCGTTGGTAGTCATACGGATAGTCATGCGTTGGTAGTCCGAATGGCGAATCCGTATAACTGAGGTCCGGATAATCGAGGTTCTACTATATGTGGATTGGGTTGATATATATTTTGATGATTTATGTTGATTCGAGTAGGTACCAAGTAAAATAACTGAAGCAATTGTGATAAGCTTTATTTAACCATAAGTTTCGGTCTTCGTCAAAGCAGTCATTCAGTGGAACAAGAAAATTAGTTACACATAAATACGCTACACTTTTACACAATGTTAAGCCAAATTTAAATTATTTATTGAAACAATTGAAATTATAAATTTAGATGACAATTTGAGTTGTATATTTTTGTACACTGTGTTGAAGTCTAAATTCTGAATGAATTGTTTTTACAAATGTTTATTCGAAGATGTAAAAAAGACTGGTAAAACACATTTTTCTGCTAAAGTAATAAAAGTGACGCGCTTTATATATTTTATAGCCATTGCAAAGCAAATTGCTGTCAGTACGTTTATTTATTTCCTTATTGTATAATGATATCAGACATCCTTCGCTCTCCTCCTTCTCAAATCACCTTTCCAATAAATTAGTTTGAAATGTAAAATTGTCGAGTTGAGGAAATTCAAGTTATGTTTGAACATTAATGTGTTCTGGGAGCATAGTTTTGTATTGGTTTTTGTTTTTAGAATTATTTTTGTGTTGCGATATTGTTTTGTGTAAATTTGCCTGGTTTCGCCTATGTAAACGCCATCACAATTTAGACAATTTAGCTTGTTTTTATATTTTTGTTTTTTTTATTCTCTATTTATTTACAACTGTCTAGTTAAGGACATTTAATAAATTTGGAATTTACAATTGTCAGCCGTAAAGGGACATTATATACTAAATGGGCATGTTGGAAAAACAACTCAATAGTTGTTTTCCCATTTGTTATAATATAAACAATATTTTATTGATAATTATATAATCTTAACTATATACTTACAAAATAATTTCTTATAAATAATGACCAAGTTATTTCAATTTTTATCAAGAAAGTGGATGACTTAATTTCAGTTGCGTTTTTTTTCAACCTTTGTTGATAGTTCTTTGTAATTAAGGAGTTTGCTAGTGAATTTGGGTGATTGATGAGCTTGTTTCTATATTTATGTGCTGTTTTTGTTATTACATTATTCATGGTAGGTGTGTTCGTGTCGAGATGAATTAGTCAGTTCGGGATATATTTTGGTGCTTCTAAGGCAATTTTCAAAAATTTGTTCTGAAATTTCTGTATCATTTCTATATTACCCTTATGAGCACTGCTCCACAATTGTATTTCATAGCACCAAAAATTCAAAAATTAGTTTGAATAAAGTTTTATATAAAAATAGCTTATTGTATGAGCTTAGAAAAAAGACCCATAGAAAAAATTGCATAGCTAGGGCAATAGCGCTGGCCATGTTATGTGGCACTGTTTTGTGAAATAACCTGGCTGGGAAACATCTGATTTGATGTAATCTGTTCAAAGTGACCCCATAGAACCCGTGACCTTTCTTGTTGAAGCCTTATCTTACCATTGGGTTGCTTCTATTTAGGTTGCGCGAAGGTTGTGACATGTGAACGTAACAAACAGAGGTAACTGAAGCAGCCATACCATACCAGAATTTTGGTTTCCATACTTGAAAATGCAGACACCATCTTTTCAATTGCACGCCAGAGTGATATCATCAAACTATATTAATTTTATGATCGACTTATTTTATTTATTAGGAGATGGCATTTAGGTAATAACAAACATCCTAAAATGTTAAAGGTATGTTATGGAAGTTGTTTGATCATAAAAATTCAGTATATATCAACAATGACAAACAATTGACTTTGTAGGAAATTGATAAACTGAATTGGTTTTCAGCAATATATTGTCCATACAGCAACGCAGTATACTTATAAACTACTTAAATTAATATATTGATAATTTCTTCATTAATTGAGTTCAAAAAAAGTTTTATACATATCAGGGAGTTCATGGGGGTATTTTGGACAAAAATAAATTTTGTTTTTTCTTGCATGTTTTCAAAGTTTAACTATTCCAGAATATTTGTACAAGAGATATTTCAAAATTCAAATTATTTTTGGATATAAAACTGTTTGAGCATGATCATCCTTTATTTCTTTCCTTTACGAAAAAAAAATCGCGTTTTCCCCGAAACTGTCTTTTTCAATACAATACCCACAACTTCTCAATTTCTACCAGACTCATTTACTTGAAATTCTTTTTTTTTTATAGATTTCTCTTTAGCATGAACTATGCTCATCATCAAATTCCGATTTTTTTACTGTTTTTAATAAATTCTAGGACATCAAAAGAGATTGTAAAAAATATTTTTTTCGGACCGTGGCTATTTTGTGAAAAAAAATTTTAACTTGTTGTTTATACGATAGCAACAATTAACTAGCTCAATAATATATTTATATTTTTTTCTTTAGATAATTCGGAGGGCTAAAATCAAGAGTCTAGTGAGATGCCAATTTTTTAAGATCGTCCACTTGATCACCTTCCGAGGGATAACTGAGGTATTACGTGTGCCGATTAAGATTAATGACTATTTTTAATTTTTATCTTGTAAAACAATATTTTATCTTGCAAAAGCACCACTAAGATCTCCGAAAATTGCTAATCTAAAGCGAATTTTGCGCAAATATGCAAGAAATATACAGAATTCTGAGTCAATGTCAGACAAAAATGATATTGAAGATAAGATCTGTACTGATGTAGAAAAATTGCCACACAATTAAATTACTGAAAATAGTAAAAAAGATTGTGAAGTTATGGATAGTGATCTTAAAGAAATACCTGATTCCGAATTAGTCTCTATGCAAGTTTGTGAACTTCTAGACAATGAATATGCCAAACACACTGAAAATTATAATCAATTGCATAAGTCAAATGACTTGAAAAATAATCAAGAACAAGAAGATCCAAATATGTTAGAGCGAGTTTCAGAAACTCGAGATACGGAACCGATTCCTCATAGTTTACTTGTTCCAAAGAATATTATCAAAGATAGTACTACAAAAGAAAAAGGAACATCAATGTCAGATGACACATTTGTTTTTGATTCAATGGAGTTGAAAGAATATTTGCAAAAACATTTTGACTCAAGGCCTCTAGAAACGTACGAGATAGTACAAGATCTCATTAAAAAGATGTTAGAAAAAACGTGCAAATAATATCAATTATATTTTTTATGATAATTATATTTTGAATATACATGTGTTCAAATTGTATATAAACTATAATATGCTTAGCAATGCTGCTTGTATATAAAATATGTTTAATATTTATATATTTTTAATGGTGCCATTGTATGTTATTGGAAACGTTTGCTTCCATCTTTGTTTGCTTTTTTTTAAATATTGTTCGTTTTTCAAAATTCACATAAAATTTATACCTATAGACTAGTATACGCCCTTAAGGAAAATGACACTTACACCCAGATTTTTAAACACCCAGATAATTAATTAATTCAATATCATGAGATTTAAAACTTCTAGGTATCTTCTGTCAAGAAAGTGGATTAAAATGTGATGATGACTTGGAATTGAGTTGCAGCCAATACTAAAATGAACTACAAGTCATGCTGTGAAAAAGATCGAGTATATAATTATATGGCCTGCAAGAATGAATCTTGTAAACACTATATCTGTTGGGTATGTTTCCGCTTGTCGGAACCACACAGTAGCAGTTGGTACACTTATATCATTGTTTGTCATCCTAACATAATGATTCACATTGATTCATATTACACGCATTAGTGTGGGATGTATTTATGTTCCAGGTATAATAAAACGAAAGTTTGAGTAGCTCGAAATGCCCAAATTAAATCTAGATCATTGCAATGTAACATTATTCCAACTGTTACCTGAACCAATAATTAAAGTGTGATCACAGACTTCATTCTTCTGTCAAAAGTAAGGTAGAGATGCAACATTTCCACATGAGCTGGATCTTGAGGTAGAGGCATGTCCATTGAAGAAAAACTTGTTAATAATTCAGAAAGAATTTTTTGTAATTTGCATGTGCTTGACTTTTTTTTCTCAACTGCATGACTACTTTTACAATTACGTTGTATAACAATTAGCTAGAACTAGGATGAGCTTAAATTCATAGATTTTATTTAACAATAATAACTATAGTTTAGCACATGCATGAGCAACGTGTTTTATAAATAAAGTTTAAAAGCTCTATGTGCAAAGTAATTATTTTTTTTAAATCTATGTAAACAACAATCTATGCACGAATCAACTAAACATGCATTATTGTATGGATATTACATTACATCAGGCTGCAACAGATTTTCACATTTTTGGCCCCAAATTGCTTGTCCATTCGGGTCGTGATGCTGTTCAAAATTATGACTCCTATGCTAATTTAAGGTGTTTAATAAATTAAACCAATAAATACAATGTATGTATTTTGTGGTTTCAAGTTTTCTCTGTATACTAAGCCAAGCAAATACAAATTTATTGCCATTTTTATGGTTAACATCACTTTTGTAAAGTTAATTAGAGGAGATGGATATATCTAAAAATGAAAACTCGATCAGTCAAAACCTTTTGAAAATCGCAGTAAAGAAAATCCGTTTTATTAATAAAATTTGAATGTTGCACCCAATGATTTAGAGGTTTTGCAGAGGTATTGCTAGAAATGCTAAACAATTGAGGTAGTTTCATAGTCTCTTTGGAATTCTGCATGCACTATGGTGATTTAATCAATTAACTTGCGGACTAGAAGTTCTGATGCTGTTTGCAAACTGCAGATTATCATTAATAATGCAATATTTACATATTTAGCTATTTCTTTGCAGTTGAACTTGTTTTTCAACTTGCATTACAAATGCAGGAATTATATGCATAAAGAAAATTCAAGTATTAACAACAGTTTTGTTTGATTTGGACAAAACAGTTGGATTTTTTGGTAAACAGATCATAAGAGGGTAATTATTTGTTGTTTTGATATTGTTATTCTCAAGCTCTTGTAGCATGGTCATATTTTTATTTTTTTGAATTTTGGGAGCAAAGTAATTTTTAAAATTAATGGTAAATATTGTTAAATAATACTTACAGATCGTTCATGATCAATAACACAGAACTTTTATTTTTTGCTTTATTGATTTTACTACTGGATGTATATTTAAATGCCGGAGTTTTATGTATTTTCATACTAGGGCATACCACTAGGTGTTAATAGCATGTTAACTGGGAGCAAGATGCATGGACTACCTGATAAATTGTGACAATAAAATTTTCAACTCTTTATTTCTAAATGAATGAATTTGTATAATTTAAGACATGTTTGTAGGCTCTGATCGCTATGCAAAGTTTTAATTATAAAAAAAATAGAAACTACTATATATTATACTAATACGAGAATCTTAATAAATTATTAATTATTATATACATATTTATAAAAGCATTATTAACAAAAATGTGCGTTTTTCGAAAAAAATAACATAAAATTTGTGTGCAATAATGAAGTGCAATTACTGAAATAAAAATAATACGAGAATAAATATTACCATGTATTATTATTTATAAAGATATTTATATTTTTAATATTATATTGAATATATTGAATATTTTTAATATTCAAGAAAATCACAAAAGAACTTTGTATACAAATTATACACAATCAATAAATATATTTATTGGGTTGTGTATAATTTGTATACAAGGTTCTTTTGTGATTTTCTTGAATAATAAAAATATTTTCTGTTTAACTTGGGAATTTTAATACTTTATCTGTTTACTAAACAGATAAAGTATTAAAATTAAGATATCTTTATATATGATCTTTTTAACCATATAAATTATGTATTACATCATTACTAAACAGTGTTCAGTAATGATGTAATACATAATTTATATAGTTAAAAAGATCATATATAAAGATATCTATTTACTGTTGAATTATTATTAAGCATTTGTTAAATTTTGATAAAATAAGTTATAGTGATAGTTACTACATATTAAACTGATCCTTTGATTGAAGAAGTAATCCTGATAAAATATTGATCGGATATTAGGTCATTATGGATATTTACTTATTAAGAAAATAGATTATAACTTATTGAAAAAAATAGTCTTGAACAGTTACTGTTTGAGTTTTAGATTCTAAAAATAGTTTCTATTGAAATTATTATTATTCAAAGAATCATTTTTTGATCGGCTGATTAATAAGTTTCTTTTAATAGTCTTTAATTAATTAAAAAGAATCTGTTCATTACTATATAACTAATTTGTATATATCAGGTATTTATATCAACTATTTATCAATAGTTTCTCTTAAAGAAATTGTCTTCATAAATAATGGTCGTCTAACTTTGCATGTGTTAATTGCATATTAGGTGAAACGTAAGGTTCTAAATAATTACCAAGCAATAAGCTTTATTAAAAAGAAGAATCTGTTCATTACTATACAAGTAATTTGTTTAGATCAGGTTTAAATAGTTATTGATTTTTATCAATAGTTTGTTTTAAAGCAATTGTCTTCATAAATAATGATTATCTAACTTCGCATACCTTAATTGCTTATTAGGTGAAACGTAAGGTTCCAAATAATTTCTCTAAAATTAATTATTTAACCCAAAAAATACAATTTAGTGAACTTGTGAAAATCTTGTAGAAATGAATAATATTCTTGAGAATGAAATAATCAATTTTAGTATAAATTGCAATAATTTAAGAAATAATGTCTATAAATTAAGAAGTTTTAATACATAGTATGCTCTCTGAAGAGCTTGTTTAATTACATAGATATATCTATAATGATATTTCATGAATATTAAAAATATGTTTTGTCCACAAATAAGTTTTGGACGCTTTTTTGGGTTTTAAGCCAAAATTCGGAACTTTGCATAGGACTTTTACAGATAGATAAAAGGTTTAACGGGATAAAAAATGTATATTATAAGATTCTATATGGACCTTTTGCATACCGAATTTAAAAAAAAAAATTAATTCAAGCATGTAAAAGTATCCAGTCGATTTTTAATTGCGGTATAAATTTTATTATTGATTTTATTATTAAAATTCATATATAATTTCGTTTATTTTCAGTGCGAATTCAAACGTTTAATAATTTAAGTTTTAATAAATAAGAAATATATACATTTTCAACAAATTTAAGTTACAAAAATAAATGCCCCCAGTGAGAATTGAACTCACGACCCCTGGTTTACAAGACCAGTGCTCTAACCCCTGAGCTATGGAGGCTTGCAAAAAAGCTGAAAAATATTAATTGTATTGCCACTGTGACTTAATTACCATGGCAACGCAACCCTAATTTTAATGTACTTATTATTTATATTTATATGGTATATCATAACAAGTTTAGACGTTTGTTAAATATAGTTCATTATATATGTGTGAGAAGTGATTTTAAAATTGTGCTGAACTAATAAAAATATAAGTTTTCTGCTATAAAATGGCGACTTCAGTGACAATTAAATTTGCGGCCTCTGGTGTAAAAGAACTGTGCTTTATGGAGGTTAGTTTAGCAAATATTTATTTTAGTTAAGTCTTTGGCTGTCATAACCCTAGACAATATTAGAATACGATCTATTCATAACTAAGTATACAGAACCTAATAGTATTCTACAGAATCTGTCATCTAATTATCGACTACAACAAGAATAATGCTACACTGTACTTTAATTTAATTAATTGTCCTTTAATTATAAATAATGCATTTTGTGATACGACCCCGACGAGTCGTGTTTTATAAGCTATTCGTGAGCGCGATGATGCGTTACGGTGTCGAATTCAATAACATTGTTATATTCATAGTCATGGCACTGACAGGCGATTTAAATTAACTGTTCATAGATAATGAATCCTAAAACTAATGAAAAATGGTAGCTCCTCATAGACCTGCATAGACTACATAGACTGCTAGTCGAGGGCAAAATAAGTGCATGAAGATAGAAGGGGACTGTGACGTCACTTGCGGTACGAGCGTAGCCGACAATCGTAGAACTCTCCCGATTGATTAAATGTTATATGCCTAACGTAAAATTAAATCGTGAGCTTGAAATTGTTAAAGTGTTGTGAAGAAAAAAAAACAGTTAATACTCCTGATTAGTTAAACGTCATATGCATAGACCTTATAATATATAAATAATTTTAACAGGTGGATTCGATTAAAATTAATACCATTTTTTTTACAAAATTATAAGTCAACGCAATTGCCATTATATTATTAAGATAAAACAAATGACAATTAATCAATCAGTAGAATTCCGACGATCGTCGGAAACGCTCGTTCAGCAATTGACGTCACCACCTTTATCTTTGAACACTTAATATAACTGAAAACATATGAGGACTAGCAGCCCATATAATATAAGGTCTATGCAGCTTCTACATAATATCTTGGGATGCATAGCAACTTTTAAAAAAATGTTTCGAGGATACAGAGATTAGTCTTTCATCGATATATCTACAAAAAATTTCCTAAATTTATGGTTATAATTTTTTTCACATTGTAGACGAAATCTCTTGTTAACTTCTTGTAGGATAAGTAAGGAAAACGAATATTTCTTAAAACGAATATCTTTACGTTCGGATCAACCGATTTGAATGATTCAAAAATCATTTGATTTCTATTGATGAGGATAGGTGCTGATTTGTTTTTGGCCAGGTGCAGCCGTTCCGAAGATACGAGGCAAATAATGCCAAAAATGATAATACAGTTTCAGACGAAATGAATAACTGTATAAACTTTTGAGAAGGCAGCTCCAGT